GTGATGAAACTTTGACTTGACTCATAAGGATGGCTAATTAATTAAATTACTAATTATTTATTCACCCTTAATCATTCTTCTCTAATTAGTGGTCTACAGTCTACACTCTTCAGTGACAACTTTGTAATTCTCCCAAGCTTCTAGATGAGATACAGTTTAATGCTTTCAACACACTTAAATCATTCTTACGTCATGCAAACTTAATTAAATTATCTATAATTATGCTTTAATTTTCACATCCACAAACTATTATTTGTACATATACTTTTTTTCATGTTCACATTTGTTCGTACACACATCACTTAAGAAATAATAAATAATGTACGTATTTTATCATGATACTCATATTAATTAAAATTGGCAGCGATTTTTGCCATCGGAATTTGGTATGGATCCAGCACTAATGGGAGATGCAATAGAACCAGGAAGAGTAACATTTGATGAGAAAATGGAAGTGAGAAAAGCCATAGAAGAAGCTCATATTCCTTATACTTACATTTCTGCTAATTGCTTTGCTGGTTATTTTGTTGGCAACCTTTCTCAACTTGGAACTCTTGTTCCTCCTAAACACAAAGTTTGTCTCTATGGAGATGGCAATGTTAAAGGTACTATACATTTTACTTTTCTTAAAATAATTCCATTTTATATTTGATATATATGACGATCGATGGTGTTTGATTGAACACATAGTTTTTTTTATAAAAACTTTTGATTTATTAATATTTGTAGAACTAATTGTGATATATATCTTAAATATGTTATACTTTCTTTGGCTTATATTACTTGTCTTTTCTTTGACAATTTTCTCATATTAATTACATGTCCATTTTAAAATTTACTTGGCATGTTTTTTAAGAAATCATCAATAAAAAGAGAATTTTTACTAATCCACCTTTAAACTCTTTTAGATACATATACCTTATCCATCAATACCAAAATTTAGACATAGGGTGTGTTTGGTATGAAGGAAAACATTTTCCGGAAAATGTTTTCCAATTTTCTCATGTTTGGTTGGGTTAAATGTTTTGGAAAATATTTTCCAAATCAACTCATTTTCCTCAAATTTAAGGAAAATGACTTCCCTTCAAAACTTATGGAAAACATTTTCCAAAACTCTCTTCCAACTTCAAACCTGCCCCCAACCACCCCCTCTCCAAAAAAAATAATTTTAAGTTTGTTTTCAAAAAATATTTTCAATTTCAAAATTTCATTTTTTTCACCCTTACCCTTGACCCCCCAACCCCCCTCCTACCCAGCCCAC